GCAGAAGGCGAGCGGCGTGTATGGCATCGATGGTGCTGCAACTAGCCACAAAACCACACTGGTTGGTGGTCAGCTCGACGATGTCACGGATACGGCTGTCTACAATTCGCTCAAAGATTTTTGTGCTGGGGCAAAGCAGAGGAATTGGACGTTGTGCTCCAACGCCAACTTTCAGGCACCTTCCTCTCTGCTACGATCTGGTTGAAAAAGATTGGTCAACCATTCAGCAGGACACCAGCACTTCCATATGTCGGCCGCCAAATCATCGGGACCTGTAGCTTTCCTGACTTCATCTTCTTCAGAGCCCTTTCCGTTTCCTCCACGGTTATTCTCTGCTGACCATGCACTGCAGGACATAAGGGACTGCTGGATGAGCAAATTCTACTGCTGAGGTGTTCTCAAAGTAGTCTTCTTCTTCTTCTTCTCCCTAGCATTAGTCCCGCGCAGTCACAGGGCCCGCATGTTTTCAAAGTAGTATTGCCATCTTGCGTCCACCAGGAGGTGACCATTCTCGTCATTTGATGCCGAAAAACTTTTCTATATCCTCGGTCTGGCGATAGCGGGTCTTTGCAAGTCGGTAAACGTACCGCTCACCATCGCGCGACTCGAGTTTCTCGCTGATCAGCAAAATGAGCTGCTTTCGCAGAAGCAACGGCCTTCTTTGCCTCTTTCTTCGCTATCTGATAGCTCCGCCAGTTATCAGCTGTCTTTTCGAAGAAATGCGTGGTACCGCTTCTTCTTTTCGCGCACTTTTCTCTCTGACCTGGTCCGTCCACAGCCACGTTTGCTTGTCAATTCTCCGCCGTCCAGGCTTCGTCATGCCGAGCTCGGATCGAGCTATCCGAGTTATTCGCTTCGGCAGCACCTTTCCAAGTTTCGTCGACAGTCGTTACCGCTGGTAATCGAATGCGGGAAACGACGGCCGCTTCTTTTTCCTTCAGTCGCCACCACTTGATTCTCGCTGGCCCACACCTTTCGGTTAGTTTCGGTTTCGGCGGGGCGATCTTTAGCGTACAAATCAGTGGTCGGTGTTGCGTGGACGACCGTTTCATAAGGCACTGTTTTCGCGTCTGTTACGAGCCCTTGATCGCGGTGCCTGACAAGGACGAAATCAATTTGTGTTCTGGTTTTACCGCTATAGAAGGTGATGAGATGTGAGTCACGTTTTCGGAATTTCGTGTTCACAATGGTTATGCGAGTCTGCATATTCAAGAATTCGCTCGCCATCAGTATTACGTGACCCATATCCAAAACCACCATGACAGCTGTAACCGTCTTTCGTAGCGCCAACGTGCCATTGAGGTCACCTGCAACAATTATGGCTTCTTGTGACGGTACCTCAGCTGTCTTCTCATCAAGCAGGTTCCAGAACTTGTCCTTGGCTTGCTCGGAGCATCAGTCTGCGGAGCAGGGTCAAGCGAGGCGTCGAGGAAAATTTGGAAATACGACCCCCCTCCCTCCGCCAGAGGCCGAAGTCCATGAAACGACCCTCTTCAAAAGCCGAACTATGAAAAGGTTGTTTAATTCTCCCCAAAACTGTTCATAAAAAAGCCCTGCTACCCCACCGTCCACCAAAAAATTCGTTTAAGAAGTACAAAAGTGAAAAAGTCAAAGAATGATCATTATTGATGAGTCCTACCAAACGAGCAAACGAGAAACGGAGCAAAAAACGACAAACTAGTCACTAAAAATGGCATACTATGACAACATCTCTTCTTTATTTATTTCCTTCACAAGACTTACCAAATTCTAGTACTACACAGATTGTGGTTCTCAATTTACACGTCCCCCTTCAGTTGAAAGAAGCTTTTTAACCGCCTTAGCCAGCTGTGTGTTGACTGATCTTTGGCGTTGACCGTGGAGCAGCTTATTACTATTGAAATTTGAACAAATATTCAAATGATTATAACTTTCTTCAAATATGACGAATTTTCAATCTGAAAGCAGATTTGGAGTTTTGTGAAGAGCTCTTTCTAATCAGTAAAATTACAAAAATTATAAGAAATAACAAATTTAGATCAATTAACGAGGAAAATTCATGATGAGCACGAGTTTTTACACTTTCCGAAGCAATAACTTGCTTCATTTTCGTCAAATTCGAAAAGTTATACGTCATACAAAACTAGAAGATTTTCTCTATCGCTAAAGCAGCTTTATACGTCCAGTATTCAAAAAATGGCCACGTTGAGGATTTTTGCAAAATTAACGAGGAAAATTTGTGATGAGTGCGAGTTTTTACGCTTTCCAAAGCCATAACTCCGTTCAAACTCATCCAATCTAAAAGTTAATACGTCATCATAAACTAGAAGATTTGCTCTATTCAAGGTTACTAGAACTGCTAAATACGTTCACTATTTAAAAAATGGCCACGTTGAGGATTTTTGCCCGAGTACCGCCGAAAGGTACTTTTTCGCTGCATTGGCACTATTCAACGACTATAGCTCCTTTCAGGGCGATTACATACTGAAGTAGGAGCAGATTCAAAATCCTCGTGCTTTTCTCTTTCCAAAAAGTGTAAAATTGTTTAGCGGTCTCAACTTTAAAGGTTACATGCTTGTGAATTTGACGCTGAAGGCTGCGTTTCTTGTTGAATAGTGTACTCCTCCTGTAATTTCACATGAACCCTTTCAGAATCCTCTTGATTTTTCCTGAATTGAGATTTTTCTCCAGAGAGCCGTAGCTGAAGCGCGCGCAACCAACTGGGCCCACTCTGGGATGCGCCGTGTGCTTCACATCCCTTCAGATTGAGGACTTACTTGAAAGATAAAATATCCTTGGAAAACGTGCGAATTTCGGATTCTTTAACTTGTGTGGTGATAAAACACTGAAGTAACTAAGAATTGCTAAGCGGACACCTCTAAATCACGAAGATTTTGTGTGGGCGGAATCAATTGTTATTGGAAATACTCTGGCCTGGCATCGATTCGATCCTTGATGTTTGTCCTCCGACGATGATCCTACTGTATCAATCGGGCCCGATCTCTCCCCAGCGGGCCAATACGACCCCCCCCCTGTGACATGTCGAGGATTCCTCAACGCACGCTTGACCCTGCTGCGAAGCCTTCACAGAAAAGAATTGGTATTTTTCGTTGTTAGATGACGACAACGATCTTCATTAAACGGTCGTCGAAGCGCTCCACGCTTACTATCGAATCACGAAAGCGTTCAGAGACAATCATCCCGACGCCATTGGTGGTTTTGGGACCGCCACAGAGAACGGCTTTGAAGCCGCGGCCAATGTCCCTCGACTTGCAGCAGGACCACCTCGTTTCCTGCACGGCACAGAAGTCAATTCGTCGGCGCTCCGCTTCTGCCAGCTCGCTGGAGCGGCCCGTCAACGTGCCAACATTTAATGTTGCAACGCGGGTCTTCGATACGTTGCATGGCTTTTGGACTAGCCTAGTTGCCCCCCGATGCCGTCCTTGCACCGGAGACCCTCGCATACTTTTCACACTCGCCGGGCTTTGCGAGTGCGCGTCGGCTCCCGCGGACGCCGTAGCATTATCTCGAGATCATGTAGCGACATTGACATTTGTGATGTGACGTGGGTGTTCGTAGGCCGGCCTGTCACGGGGGCCTGTCGCCTGCATTCGAATGTCCGTGGTCAGCTCAGCTCACAAAGTGAGCAGTTCCGTGGCATCCCGTGGAGGGACAGACACAATAAACCGAAACTTTATGACACCAAGCGATACAACATTTTGGAAAATTTCTCGGAGAAAAAGTAATGACAATTTTTCGCCGGCTCTACTAGTTTCTCGAAAATTCTTATTGTAAATTTGTCTATTTCTTCATTACAGATGCCATTCCTACATTATTTACCACGAATATAGGAAATGCAAATGAAACTACCTCGTGGGACGAGGGAAAAAAGCGTGCTTCGTCCCGTGTGCACGCAAGCAGAAAATGCGCTCGTCGTCAAGGTGTTAACTCTGCAAAGCACCGAATAAGAAATTCGGGAGGGTGTCTGTGACTCTTGCTTCCAGTTAGTTGTTTTCTATGTGTAAGACTGGGGATATTAAAGCTCTCGGTCGTCGAGATCACAATTTAGAAAAAAAAAACGTTGATAAGTCCCGCTCCAGATATTACAATGCTTCATATGGAATCAGAATCCGCCACGCATATGGCAGTAGGGTACACTGAATTGTGCGGCCAGCTGATTCGAAAGTGAGCGTTTTTGACCGCAAGGGCCTGGTAATGATTTACCGAACCTGGAGTAGTAGAAGGCTTAGTTGACCTGAGCGGAATTCGGTATTTGACCACTGTACGTGTGCGTAGTGAACTGTCACTTACATACATAGGTATCTACAACAATTGCACCAATGCAGAAGTAATGACGAATTTGTGAGTGAAACCTCATCAAGGTGGGTAACATTATACATTCTTCAAACGCGAAATTTCGTTGTATTACAAAAAATGCACGAAACAATAAATGCAACACCAAAAGAAAGAAGAGACTTAGAATATTGGTTAATTTCCACACCTACTCGGAAGCTTGACTGAGCTGCACTTGCAAACATTTCGGTTCTACCTTGAAAAACAGTGAAGAAACAGGCGATAGATACAAGCGAAAACACACGGGATGGATGGGAAGTTCAGATTTAAGTGCCAAAATCAAAAATCCTAGCGTGCAAGTAATTGATTCATAGGTTACAAAAACTAAGGCAAATGCAATTCGTGATTTCTTAAATCTATGTGCTATGTATACTACATTAATTATGTGAACTAAATATATTGTTTGCGAGACCTGTGGATATAACAGTGATGAGCGGAAATTTGTCCCAATTTCTAACAATTGAACGAATGAAAAAAAATGCAGTTCACTGGAATATTAATTCACTTTGCTTATATATTTAGTACTGCATAGACAGAGCGTACTCTACTAGTACCACTACACTAATTTACAGAATAAGAACAAGGACGGGTTTCTGTATGTAGACGAGTCGTTTCAAGAGAATTCAATGATGAGTCAATTCGTAATCAATCCCACAAGATGGTATCCCTCACACTGTAACAGCTGAACCATCCTCAACTTGGCTGTTGACTTCTATTCTGAACTGAGCACATAAAGTCCACCACCAAGATCGTTCATTGCTGATCCAGAACTTGTACAGACCATCCTGAACAAGGCAATTATATCATTTAATAGCATATTCCATGGAGAATAGACCTGTGTACGTATCAGTTGGTAACTTCGTTTGTGAGAGCAAAAAATCTTATCAGTTCGCCAGGGCATAACGCAAAGTGATGTTTAGGGAACACCACGAAATTAGCGCTTGCCGAACACCATGAAATTAGCGCTTGCCTGCGACAATATGCGTCTTGTTCCTACACACAAGTAGCCACAGTCTACGAAAGTGAATAGATTTCGTCGCTAGCGTTTCAAATCGACGGAACGTCTTTTTTGAAGCTGGGAATTTTCACAAAATAGGCTTACTAATCTTGATGAAAATTGTTCTAAGACTTGAATACGAGGGAAGGGGTATGTCAGCGTAGGAACCACAATTTCAGACTTCATCGTTTCAAAATGGAATCGAGATCCTGTAATCCGAAAAAAAACTCAATTGATCTCACAATGTAGTGATTTAAAGGACGAATTCACGATGAAAAAGCAACCCATTTCAAATTAACCTAGGGATGGTGAGTGGTACACGAAAGAAGGAAGAACCATGAGAAACGGCCCAGAACCCGAGAAATGGGACCCCTTCCTTGCCCGTTGATTTGAGCATTGATGCGACTCTCATCGCTGTGCCCTCTTCAACACTACGCTCTCTCAGCTATCTAATCACTCGCCACGTATTGAACTACGGCGAGTGATCGGTGGGCGGAGATCGCCGGACCCGCCAGCTTTGAGGCATGATAGGTCGCCGAGGTCAAATTTTTCCATGCGAATTGCGCGTCAGTTCGCACCCTCAGGAGGTCCGTGGGTCCCTCAACTAGGTCAGTTTCCCTTTCTTCGACCTTCATTCTAATCGTGAAATTCCTCCTTTAAGTGAAACTGCGCTACACTAGGCAGAGTTCTGATCGTCTTTCTATGGAACGGTTTGCATATAAGGAGGACTGCATAAGCACCACTTTCAAACATTACTTCTATAAAACTCGAGTGTGTGGCGCAATCTAATATGAATCTCTTTCAAAGCTTGAACAGATGATGTGTTTGTAGATCTCGACGAGCTGGATTAAATACTGTCTTCAAATGTGGAGAAAATCACCACTAAATGGAGTTATAACGATTAAAAAAACCCGAGAAGAAAATAAGAAGTCAGATTTTCGCGTGTGAATTTGGGAAGTTTTCCGGTGAGTAACGTAATTATTACGCTGCTCAATGGTAGCTAGTATTGGCCTACCTCAGTGATCTCCAGGCTTTCATCTATCGGAGTGAGCGTTGGTCCTGGCATCCACGGGAACGACGGAACCATTTGCTCCATGCTGCAATTACCACTTTTCCAAAAAGAAAATAGCTGGAAGTTGCTGCTATACCGGGTAATTCTTCAATACACTCGAGGCCTTGACGAGTCTACTCTTTTTCAGAGCTAACCGGAAAAATCCCGTTATCAATCTACTTCGGTACACTACGTGACAGCGGCGGCTTACGCGCCAAGGCAATAGACAGCGCGTAGCGAGCATATCTACCCTCCCCTTCAAAAAGCCAGAAAGTGTCGGGTGCGGACCAAACCACCACAACAACGCCTCCTAATATTAGGTCGGTCCACAATTTTTGAGAACCTTTGGTGTTTTTCGATTTATTACTTATCTTATTTCTCTGATCTACTTATCCAGCATAGTATACATCATTATTATTAACAACATATCGCCAATGCGAGGGTGGGTATTCAGTGCCTCTCTTGTGGACTTTCATAGAGTTCTGATCGAAGGAAAATTGTAGTCCCGAATCAGTTCTCAACCCAATCTGACATCATCAAGTTCCTGTTGGTTTCCTATAGTTCCTTCGGATGACCATCTATAATACTCATTGGTGATGTGGACTGGGTGCAATGTGCTAACAAATCCACGAGCCGCAGTAGATTTGCTCAAACGATTCGGGAGTTCTGACAGTACAAACCCAACTCCCTCTGAATTCGAACTTCCTGAGTCGTTGGCGCAATACGGGAGGGCCTTTGCGCTGAAGACCGGCATCAACTAATACCAGTGTCAGTGATGGGAAGAATCGTTGACAGCTTGATGGCAACGCCTTCAACTTGAAAGCAAAGGAAGACAAAATCTATTTTTCTCTGAGGTCGTTCGAGCCCGCCTTGCTAAGAAAATTCCTAAAAAATTGGAGACTCTCGGGCGGTCAGTTCTTTTAGCTCCGCCTTGTAGCACTAATCCTGCGTCAACGAACGACTATCCGCTCTCCTCTCTCAATCACCTTCTGGAGAAGAAATCTCACTTGAATCACCATAAAGTCAAAATCGACATCCAATATTTCTTCGATCAGAACTCTATGAAATTCTACAAGAGAGACACTGAATACCCACCCTCGCATTGGTTATATGTTGGTAATAATGGTGATGTATACTATGCTGAATAAATACATCAGAGAAATAAGATAATTAATCGAAAAACACCAAAGGTTCTCAAAAATTATGGACCGACCTAATAAATCTGGTTAGTAGTGGTTCATAGTGATAGCTGATTTTTGGTAAATGATAGTTGTAATTAGTGACAACTGATAGAATACAACTGCAACAGGCTAATCATTTCATTGGCAGAAAACATTACATTTTGTGGAGGCCGTCGTCACTTGTGGTGTATGGTCTGCACCCGACACTTTCTCGCTTTTTGAAGGGGAGGGTATGCAAACTACCTCCAGCATTTCCCCTAACCCAACTTTACCGCGGAGTATGTGCTCGAAGTTATAAAACGAAGGGTACAGCTTATCGTATACAACTTCATCTGGCCGTACACTCTAGAATATAGATATGAAAGTATCGGTTCTCTTCTCATTTGCAAAACACTTCAATTTCACGGCGAGAATGCCAACCTGGTGGCTAACTTAGTTAGGGGGGGGGGACCACGCGCGGCGCGGCGCTCTGTTCGTCTGCTCCTCCAAGGCTTAGTCCGCCGATGGCGCGTATTTCGAAACTGCCACGTGGTGACGAAGCGCCTTGGACTAAGCCTTAGAGGAGCAGACGAACAGAGCGCCGCGCCGCCGCGTAAATAAGATTATAATGAGATAGAGTTGACTATCCCTGCTATATATGCATAGATAACAAATCATAATCATAATCATATATAATGCGCTATGTCTGTCTGTGTGTCACTGTATCTGTCTGTCACGATATTCCTTACTTTCTGAAGGTTCTCATGGAGAGACCGGGCCAAGAATGGGATGGGTGTACCATATCTCGAGAAGTACAAAAGACAGTTGGGACCAAGATTCAAACAAAATTCAATTACAAAACGGTTTCGGGACTGGGGAAAAGTGGGTAAAGGTGTGCATTGGTAAGCCAGATCGAATTAGGGAGACCCACCCTCGGTGGGCGGGGCGTTCTCTAAAAAAGCAGTGCTTATGAAAAATTTCATAACTCGGTTGGGAGAAAGCCTACAGAGCAGAAAAAATTAGCAGGGGAAGCTAAGGTATTTCCAGCATACATGACGTGAGCGGAGGCCCGCCCACAATGGGCGGAGCGTGCCCTGAAGTGGACAGCTGTTTCCTACAGGTCCTCATAACTCGCTGTCATGTTTTAGAGAGCGAGGAAAAGTTGGACAGAGGTCGGAGAAGGTGAAGGGCGACCGCTGTTGGTGGGCGGAGTATGCACCAAAGTGGATGGAGTTCGTTGTCAAACTTATAGCTCGGATTCCAAGAAGTCCCGGAAACCGGGAAAAAGTGGATAGAGGTCGGCGAAGGAAAGGAGGTCAACTGCTATTAGTGGGCGGAGCATGCACCAAAGTGGGCGGAGTTTGCCAAAAGTGTCGTAATTTGGTTCCAAGAAGTCCCAGAGACCGGGAAAAAGGGGGTAGAGGTCGGCGAAGGAAAGGAGGCCAAATGCTATTGGTGGGCGGGGCACGCACCAAAGTGGGCGGAGTTTGCCATACTTATAGCTTGATTCCAAGTAGTCCCGGAAACCGAAAAAAATGGATAGAGGTCAGTTTACAGAAAGGAGGCCATTGGTGCCCGGGGCATGTACCAAAATGGGTGGAGTTTGTTTGTCAAACTTATAGCTATATTCCAAGAAGTTCCGGAGACCAACGGAAGGGGGTCATATGCTATTGGTGGGTGGAGCGCGCGGCGAGGTGCAAGAAGTTTGCCAAGAAGCGTCACAAAAAAATTATCTGGCAAAATGGTGCCCGTTTGCTGCGCTCTTGCATAACCTTGCGCCGGTGCGGTTCGGTGGGCGGTCGGCGCTCGATCGGTCGTCCTCACGGTGCGACAGGTACTCGAAAGGCGAAAGAGTCGCAGTCCGCGCCCTGGCGCAAATGTCATCGCAAGCTGTGCCTTCCCGATCGATAATCGGATTGGCGTGAGTCCTTTCTATTTTCCGATGTTTTGCCAAAGAACCCGTATTGGCGTCGTTCAGTATCTTTCGGCTCAGACTTTCTTTTTGTTGTCTTATTCAACATTTCTCATTCACATTTCATTCACATTGTCATTCACGTCTTTACACAAAATTTTACCGGGACGTCACGCCTGCCGTCAAGCAAATGAATAATAATGCAAGAACAAAAAGAATCGGCACTATTCAACTATTACAACCCCAAAATCTCAAAATTTTAATTTTCGCCGAAACTTCGCCCTATAGGGGTTATTCGATGCCCTGATTACGAAAATGACATTCATTTTTGGCGTTGGCGCCATCTGGCGCCCCACTTTGGCGCCAGGGCTCTTTCTACCAAATTCGCTGTAAAACTTGTATACAGAGGTTATTTGGGGTCCTGATTACGAATATAACATTCATTGTTTGGCGCCTGCGCCATTTGGCGCCTATTTTCGGCTCGTCTGCGCCCTCTCACTGATTAGCTCGCGATCAGGACTAAGCCTTTGGGGAGAAGAGTGCTCCGAAGTGAGTGAATCACCCATCCTGTGATCTTATACGCTTCAACTTTTGCCACACGTTGCCTGGTTCACCCACCCAGGAGTCCTCCCTCCTCCTAAGCTTAGTCTGAGGTAATATGTACAAGTGAGAGGGCCCAGGAAAACGGAAAATCTGCGTTGAATAGTGCAAATGCTAGAAACCAATGTCGTATTCGTGATCAGGACCCCAAATAACCCCTGTATACAAGTTTACAGCGAATTTGGTGAAAATAGCCCTGGCGCCAAACTGGCGCCAATTGGCGCCAGATGGCGCCAACGCCAAAAATGAATGTCATTTTCGTGATCAGGGCATCGAATAACCCCTATGGGCGAAGTTTCGACGAAAATAAAATTTTGAGATTTTGGGGTTGTAATAGTTGAATAGTGCCAAGGAAACATATGAGCAGAAAAGAGACGAATGAAAGCAAAACGGCTTAAAAATGGAAGGAATACACCAAAATTAGAATGAGGGATCGGAGGGCTCCGACTGCGCGCCATGTACGCGTCGTGCGCCAGAGCGCGTACTGAGGCTCTTCGCAATGTCGGCATCGGCGCCGCCCGCACCGACGCAAGTATGGTGAGCAGCGCCGTACACTGCAGCCCCGTGTGATGCACGCAAATGCGTGCGCAGCCAACTGGTAATTCGTATATTTTACGTTCATTGGTATATTGGTATATTACACTTAACAGTTTGACCAGACGTGTTGCCCCTTTACGGCCGCGCCGTGGGACACGGAGCAAATATTTGCGAGCGCGCCGTTCTCACCTTACTTCCGCTTATTTTTTGTTTAAAATGCACAACAACTTGAATCTCATAGAATTATTTCGGCAAGGATGAAAGCATAAAGGTTAACTATATAAATAGCAGTAGATTTTTGTTCAGAAGAACGCATAATGACCACGAAGAAGCAAAAAACATCACTTTCGCTGCGAATGAAGTTAAAAGCATTTATACCTAAGTTCTTCCATCAAATACAAATATCTTGAAACTCACAGAGTTTTGTATTAACTGCTTCTACAATCTTTCATATGAATGTTACGACAGTGAAAGGAAAGAATTGAAATGAAAGTTTTGTGCGTTCAGAAAATCTTTGCTAAATCAAGGGATATTTGACCACTCTGGCTGCCATGTGGTTTATAGTTATGCTAATGTATTATCTATAGAATGAATGCAAAAAGAAAAGAAGGAGCGCAAGCACAAAAATGAATGACATAGTTCTGACGCGCATGCGCGTCAGAATGTCCGATGCGGTGCCAAATTTCTGACGCGCATGCGCGTTAGCCTGTCGTCAACGTGTTAGTGAGTATAATGCTGAAGCCGAACGGAAAAGCACCACTCACACTGCAAAGTCGTCGTCGTCCTCGTCGCGTGCCCGGAAGAAGCCAAATCCGTAATTCCGATTCCCAGAAACCCACCACGATACCATGTCTCCTCGTTGAAGATGAACGGTAATCGTGTGATGTTTGCCAGCAGGCACATTAATCACCTGGACATTTTCGGGCAGCTGAAATGGTGAAGTTTTAACTGGAAAAAATTTAATTGAATCCCATGATTCATATAAAAAAGGTAGACATGATCAGGCGAGTTGAAATCGTGAAGTTTCCTGGAAATCACATTTCCCTTAACTTCTCCGCGCGAATAAATAATATCAGATCTATAACAGATACAAATTTTGCAGGTATGATTAAGCTGATTTCGTCCGTTATGAATGTCCAGTCGAGTCTGTAGCACAGCACAACAAAAGCTGCGATCAGTTGAATATTATGTATTGGGTTGCCCAGAAAATCCTGCGACACTTTGTTCAAGAGCTTTGATTGCATCTTCTTTTGTTGAATGAAATATTCAATCAGCAAGATTATCACCATTACCATATAGGAGACGTACACTTTTCCGGGCAGCTTCTCAACTCTCTTACTTTAGGATTCCGGCGTTTGAAAAGAAGCGATCGATCCCATTTTCGAGTTGACCTCAGTCATCGGATTTTTTTCTTCTAGATGACGCTTCAGGGCACTAATTACCCGACAGTCAGAAGCAGCTAAGCCCGGCGAGTAACCCAAATACTGCGAAATATCCAAATCAGATCTTTTGGCATGCAATCCTTTGTCACATGTACAGGGGTGGCAAAAGAGACACTTTGCCCATGGCGCACATCATCGAACTTTTCGTCGCACAGGGTGCCGATGTTAATGAAAGTTTTACGGCGAATATTCCTTAGGTGTTCCCCCGTAAACAGAAGCAGGCCCTCCTTCACTGCCCCCACCGTCTTCAGAATATGACGTCATCTGCCGCCACCGTCGAGCTCAACGAGGCTTACCGTAATCGCTCCGGCCTGAAGCTGCTACATAATTTCTTCAATGGATTAACTGTGAATAGCTTCCAGAGACATTAGCTGTGACTATGCAAAACCGCTTTTGACCAGCGTTTCAGGGACGTCGTAATGGTCTATGGTACCTCGACGACCTCGTTGAGCTCGTACCGTGAACCATGTTTCCGTGGAAAATCTTCTGATGTCGTCGGTGTAGAAGGCTATCATGTAAGGTTTAGATAGATTAGAAGGTGCTCTCCAATACTGAGTTGGGGGCAGTCGATTTGATTTTAGCAAAGTGTGATTAATGCTGTCTGAAATGTGGAGTCAAGTGTCTTTTTTTGGCCACCCCTTTAGATGTGCGTGGGGGGAGGGTAACAAAGTATTGAAAACCCGGGAGTGATGAAACAGTGTGGTTCGTCTGAGTTAAGGGGCAAAACGAACCAGTTTATATTTTTTAAACAGTTTTCCCAGTCGAATCCAATAGAGCTTATGTGTACAGTTTCCTCAAAGCTTGAGCTATCTTCTTAATCTTCATTTTTGTCAAGAGATTCCTTTGTGCGAAGAAAGAAGAGAAATCTCTACCATGGTCACACACTTCGCCTCCCAGACTGGCGCAACCCAGCCCATTGTGAACATGCTGCACTGTAACTGGGGACGTAGGGATCCTCGGCAATTCTCAGTAAGTGCACATCAGCGCTGGTACCTATCGGCTGCGCCTCTGGAAGTTGAGCAAATGCTCACCATTCACCACCTACAGCCGACCAGAGCAGTGCTTTACTTTGAGTCAAATATCTCCGGATGCGAAGCCTTAGGAGACAACGGGACACTATGGCCTGCTGAACGAGTCACCTCCTGAATACAGCACAGATGCTAGCTGCAACGCATGCAAGCAGAGTGGCTTCATAGGAGCTCGAGAAATAAAACATGTCAAAGATTGGTCCAGAGTTTGGGCAGTAAAATGCTGCTTGAGCCTTCATGTACGCTTCTGCTGGAACCTTCGAATGACACACTACAGTAATAAAGTGCCAAAACAACTGCAAAGGGTTTTGTGTTTTTCCCTAAAGTTATTTGTTCAAAGTGTTGGAGGACAACCCAATATTAGGGGTATCAAAGTTTTTAAGAATATCCTGCCTCTAATTGTTGAAAGCGTGGAACGTGCGAATGTGTCAAACAGACCCATAAATGAATGGCAAGAAACCCTTTGACGACAATGCGGATTTGCACGTAGCTTGCTCATGGGACCACGCCTCTTTTTGGCGCGCCCAACTCTCGCTCACAATTGGGCAAAATTGTCCCTCAAAGCAGTTTTTCTATAGAATTTTTGACTTTAACAGTATACCAGATATAACTGCAGTTCTAGGCTTTCATACTGTATATTGTTTTCAAGAGAATTCCAAATTTGGAAGGGGAACTCGGGTTTCAAAAGGAGGAGGGCAAAACCTCTAAAAGTTTAAGTGTCCAAGAGAATTTTCGATACACTTCAAAAACCTTCCCATCCCGTATCTGAGGGCTATGAGAAGACGAAGAAGTCCTGATTAGTAATTAATCGTCCGCCAAATAATGCAAAACGATCTGCAGCTATAGCCGATAATTTGACGGATAGTAATGAAAAAACCAAAGAAAAACGTCGAATAGGGCTTTAAACAGGAACTCACTCTCTGCCGCTTAGCGATGAGAGAAGACGCGTGCTGGACGAGTTGTCCGAACCTAACTTAGCTAACTTAGATCAGAATCAAGCAATTGTGAAATTGTCATATCAGCGACTCACGCACACGACGTATTCACTAGCTCATTCACTAACAGTTCGATCACCCCTCAAACTACTGCAATTCGACCCTTCCATTTAGCTGGGAGACCCTTCCATTTAGCTGGGGAAGCCTTGATTCCGCTAATAACTGACTGACTTGGTAGCCATTACAACAGATTACAACATTAACACCACATAACATAACAACATTAGAACAACAAAAAAAGAAGCAATTCCACTGCAACCGGCAGGATCACATTGATTACTTTAAAGGACAGAGTTCAAATACTCCCTGTGGTCCCAAAACGAGCACGAATGCCTCCGTAGCCAATCACGGCTGGCAAGTGGGCGGTCCCGAAGAAATTTCCAACCACACCCATCTTTGAGGAGTTTAACGCCCTTTTTGGCTTTTCCCAGGTGAGTTTTCTTTATAACTTCACTTCAGATGTTCTCCAATAGGGCCTGTGTATCCTTTAGTGCCATTAGTATTGAAAGAAGCAGACCCTGCTGGGACTGTTGCTTTAATATAATTTTGTAAGCTAACAAAGCGTCTGAATCAGCTTCTTCTGTTCTAATCGTTCATTTATCTTGGATGGAATTTTAGATTTGCATGATAGATGTCCAATTCAAAACAATGACCACATTACTTTGAAAAAAATTTCATCTAGCAGATGAAAAGACTGATCAGAAATGCATTCCGAACTCAGCCACGACATTTTCTCAGCATTCCACTAATTTTGAAGGCATCGGCTCTTAGAAAAATTTTCGGTCTAGATTTCGCGAGATAGTACATAATCCCGGACTTCTGGAGGGAAATCCAAACATGAAAAAGGCATGGCACATGCGGTTCAGTGTCATTGGCATGAGCACTGGAGCTAAACTCATGAAACTCGTCCAACACGCCCTTCTCTATCCCAAGGTGGAATGCGGCTGAAATAAAGGAGGTCCTATTCGGGGCGTAATCGGGGGTTTCTCTTGCTTTCTTCTTCTTTTCCAGACCACTCCCACCTCTAGCTTCATTGGTGAACGCTCTTCCACACCTGTTTTATCCCGAAGCTTGCCTTTGACTTCTGAAACTCTTTTCATTCACGTATTAATGAGAATACAAAGAATAAGAAAGAATCAATCGACGCGAAAATTTAGTCCGGCCCAGAAGACATTCTCTAAACTAAAGCATATCTATCCCTATAGTGAACCACTATGTGTGGAATTAGGGCAGTGCAATAAGCTCCCCTCGTTAATTTCTAATAAAGAATAAGAACGCCTCAAAAAGGTCAATAGTGCGGAATAAGTGGATGAAAATCAATGAATGTGTCAAACCTTAAGACCTTTAGAGGAGTAGTACCAATCCTTTGAGTACGGCTGAGGTATGTCAAGATGTGCTGGAAACGTGTGAGTGTCATCGTTCCAAATTGAAGGGAGCGATTCCATTTTTGAAAACTGTAGAATTTCGTCCTTCCAACTAGAGGACGAAAGAATGCGCACCTAAACTGGCCGTCTATCAGTGAGTGCAGCACACTACTCTGACCTTGAGTTTTTACCTTGTTTTTTGTCCTCTCGGGCAGTAGTGGACGAACCACAGTCCATAGAGCGACAGCAAATGATGGTAGATTAACTGGGACAAAGAACTGAAAATGGGGTTGCTTGAATATAAGCTATGAGAAGCAGCACTTCAAAGCCACTTCACCTTGATCATTTCTACGTAGTGCTCAGCCATGAATTCAGCTAGAGATTTCATTGAACCCGTGACCAAATCGTAGAGCTTTTTGTTGTATTCAAGACCTGTGATATCCATAACGTAGAGGATCCACGCTTGCTTCCCTGAAATTCATCGAAGATTTGGATCACCTTTTACTGGATAATTTGTTGACTTATTTATACGCAGTTTACAAGTGATTCATAGACGAAGCTAAAATTACATCATAAGCAAGGGCAGGGTTAGCTATGAGCGCTATGTGCACTAACGGTGTGCACTAAACCGCCCACATTCCTCGTTGACAAACTACCGCGGTTTTTGAAGAATGCAGTTTGCATCGATGGAAGAAGTGGGCGGAATTCCCTAATAATTCAGCCATAGGCCATGTGCCTGTGTTTTTGTCATAACTCAGCATCCTTGTTACAAAAGATAACAACTATGTAATGCCCGATGCTCTTTGAATTGAAGCAAATTGAGAGCTCTACTGAAGAGAACTCTTTTATGCAGTCACTTGCTCAATTTAGTAGGTTCAACAATGATAGCCATGAGTCATGTTTGACTTTGAAACTGGAGACCGAATCACAGCGAAACCGAAAAGGCTCTACTGAACTGCATCTCCTAATGATACAGCCACCTACAAATTGTTCAAAATCTTCATTCCATAAAGCTTCTGGAAAACTGTCCAACAGGAAAACTGTGTCAAATTTGATCGCAAATTCGAAAATCAACACAAAATTTCAGGTTGGAAATGCCAATTTTTTGGTTAGTTTTTCACAATGGATCGCTTTTCTATGCCTCCAAATGATACAGCCGATAAAGTCTGTGATAAGAGACTCTTTCTGACTTGGCTTCGTCCTCTTCACTCGGTGAAGAAACTCGGATCATCCACGTAAGGAATGCGTGAGTACAAGCCGGTATGAGCACGGTCTACGCGATGGTCGTTACTTACAGAAAGGGTGGAGGGAAGGTTGATTAGGTTTGGTGTAAGGATTGATCGAGAAACCCAGGATAGAAATTATTTATGTATAACATTCTTTTCCTTGCTTGGTTCGAACCGAGAATTCCGCTGTAGGCTCCATCATCTTGTGTGAATTGTTCGCTCAGTTGCCCTTCATCAATTTAAAAATGGTTCGATATCGACACGTCGATAAATAGTTGATTAAAAATGATCTGTTACGCACTTGAATCGAAAGTGTCAGTCATCACAGATGTAGCATTCATAACTGTCAAGAGACCGTGGCTGTCTGGTTTTCGGGTTTCAGCTCCCGAAATTCAGTTAACGCCTGCGACGGCCACACAGTTTCAAAAGCGTAACAAGCGCCATTTGAACGCGAGTTTTTTTTCGAACTGTGTAAGACACCGAAGGGCGGAAGTGGTGTAGTGGCAAGTGGCACGCTTACCACGCGAGCGGTCCGGGGATCAAATCCTGGGTCGTGAGTCGCCCGGGCCAACCAAGCCTTCCATCCCTCCGGGGTCGGTTAATTGGTACCTTGTCTGGGAGGATAAAAACACTGACTTGTACATCGGCTGGCCCCCGCAAGTCATTGTATAGGCCACATCGCATTCAAACGCCACTACGAATGTACAAATGGAAGTAGAATGCGTGCCGCATCCCAAAAAGGGATTGATCAACGGCAAATGCTTTATCCTTTTTATCCTTAAGACACCGAAGCTAAAAAGGTCGAAATCGAAAAACATTCCATCATATCGTTGTAGTCAGTTGTCCCGCACTACAAAGTTAGACTGAACTTGAGCAAATCAGGAGATAAAGGAGCACCTGTTCGTTTTTCAAGTTCCATGCACTGTGCAAGCATCACTTCCAGATCGTAGACCCGAGCTTTCATTACTTCCGAAATCGAAAAACATTCCATCATACCGTTGTAGTCAGTTGTCCCGCACTACAATGGGTACAATTAAGTCATCACTGTTCAAATTGTGACGAAGACACCCGAACTGGGGAACAGGATTCGCCGTGACCGCCCACTTAAAACCACTTTGTTGCCTCTCCATACCTGTTCAATGTTGATTATGACGTTTTCTAGAACTCCAGATTCACCGGTAATACCATGCCGCCAGTGGTTATGAATCGGGTGCGTTCTGTCCATCTTGTGCATGCTGTCGAAATCCCATGAAGATTTTCTAGAAAAGTTATGAGCAATCACTTAGAGTCGCAGAAAATACTCTGCAAGCTCTCAGCAGAGAGCAAATATGATGATTAATCATCTCAAAAATCCAAATGCATTGAACAACCAATTGCTGCAAATCCATTCAAAGCTTTAGATGGTGAGCGAAAGTAGAGATGTTAAGAGGGTGGAACAAAAAATGCTTTTTGCTCATGGAGCTATGAGTAATCATGCATTAGCAAAAACTGTCGCTCGCACTAAGGAGCTGAATGGAAGTCTTTTCACCCTTGATAGCAGAAGTAGGTCTTTATCCATCGCCCTCAACGTCATCGCAACATGACGCCGTCCGCCATCCTCAACGGGTTCAAGGAGTTCTAATGTAGGTACGCCGGTGCACACACAGTACGGGTGTAGTTACATCTTTCAGAATGAATAAGGTGCATGGGAAGTAGGGTCAAGCGAAACGTTCGCACTTTTTCAAGAATTCTGCAACCCCCCCCTCTTAGGGGGTTTCGATGCGACCCGCCCCCTTCCCCCCTTAAGGAGTCTCGATTCGACCCCTCACCATTATCAGACTCAGAAGGCTCCCCCAATACGATCCCCCTTCCCCTTTTCCGACCACCACTAGCACGATCATGGCTGTTTCTATACATAGTATTTTATTCTGAGACCAGTTGACACAGCCAAACTCCCAGGCAAATCCACCAATTTCCTGGCAAATCCACCAATTTTGCCTTATTTCCACTACTTTCGTGAAAGTTCAACCAATTTCGTAAAAAACCGTCCAAACACAACCCCCTTTAACGACCTCCGTCAACTTCCGTTCCCACTATGATAACCTTGCTCAACCCCAAAATGCGACCCCCCCATGTGTTCGAAATCACAAATGCGACTCCCTCGTTCGAATAGTGCGAACGGACGGTTGACGCTGTTGGGAAGCTCACGATTGCAAGTTCTGCCGTTTCGAGGATTGACTTGACAGAGGGCTTTATTAATGTGGGTTGGAGTTTTTCAGAGTAGTATTAGTACCGATATCCCTTCTGTGGATCCCGTGCTAAACGCGAATGCCTACTACTGCATTTAGCAATTTGTTTGCCATTCTGTCGGCCATAACCTCAGGAACACCCCGTTTTCCAGCAACAGTGGATGGCATAGTGGAAAACACTAAAGCGCCTAAAATGAAGAAGTCTAGGAATCTGAAAACCTGGACGACTTGACCTTGACCAAGTTGTTCAAAAAGGATGGACAGAACTTAGAAGTATTGTGTATGAAGATTGAAAAGTCGAAATTCTCACTGAGCTCGAGGCCGATCAGGTTGTAATCGTTTGTGGCGTCTCGATCATGTGATGTTACATTCTCTTGGAACTTAGCGAAGTGTGTACAGATCAGTATTGAAACTCAAGCAAAAGCGGATGCTCTTTCGAGCCTATCCTGCACCTCTTCAAATGAAATGAAATCCCAATTTCGCCAAGCCTTAGCACATATTGTTCGCACATATCCGCATGAAGTTCGAATTTAAGAAGATTGTTGAAGGACAAACAGTCCAAGGCGTTCTCTTCAGGTCACCCAGCTCCGCAACCCACAGGTTACATTGATTTACCTTGCGCGAATGGAGAAAACCCGAATTATCGACTTTTGTTCAAAGTGAACTGCCCTCTGAAGTTGTTTAAGGAGGCATCAAATAGGTTCAACCCTGATTATTCTCAAAAACGGAAGCAGGTGAAAACTAGCGAAACAAGTCCGAAAACACGGCAGAAAGACGACAAAGCACCTCGTGTTTTTGATTGTTCTTTCTTGCAGCTCACTTACAGTAGTTCTTAAAGGCAAAGGTCGGGCTCAGGCACGCTAGAGAAGTAATTCCCGTGCCTGGAGGTTGTATGTGGGTAGCTGCACACATTGCAGCAACTTCCCACCTTGAAAAACCCCGTTAAGGCCCCGGGGCGTTCGGTTTCAATCCAGGGCCGCCTGGTCAATCCAGGACCGCCCACCTCCGGAAGTGGTGCGTGGCTGGCATAACGTGTGAAATCAGCTAGGTTGATTGCCGTATCAACCGATAGAACGACTGACATCTCCAGAAAACTTGTTTGTACGTGCCTCTTTCCCGAAGCAAGCCTCCTTCACTGCTAGTAGGAAAGAGGGTGTGTTAACGGCCTTGTCGACGGTTTTTCTCAGTTTTTTCTCCACTGTCGTTCTACTTCGCATCTCTATACTCAGTTACAATCGCCATAATACCCCCTTATTGAGCCCGACTTTTGCCTTTAAGTTGGAACGCTGCTGGGCGGATAGCAAACAGTGAACTAGGAGCTCAACGAAT